ACATCATTAGTTAACGCGACTGGATGGCTTCTCAATGTGTATAAGGCTACTGCGGTCGATAATAGGACAAAATGAACTACTAAGTTCGATTTTTACGCTAGGCTTTATATTTTTAGTTTTCTTAATACCTGGATATTGTCAGAGTTGCAGAACGTAACAGTTCGCAAGACTTGAACAGCAAAACAGAGTCCTTCCAGATATTTATGCAACAGAAGCATAAATTGAAACTATTAACCATTCAGAGTGCCTGAGAGTGAGCTAAAACCAGTCCCGTGAACTGACCTCCAAATTTCGAGACATAAAACCTTTACTTCGTATCGAATTTAATATCATGTGATTGGCTAAAATTTCGGTGATCACAATTAACACATTTGTCAGATTCCGAGGCTCGTATTATGCTATGAGATAGTACGAGTTCACAATGTAGAACCAGCATTTATGTGACAACTGGAAAATTCTCAATAAAAAAACATGTGCATAGATATTTTTGAACCACAAAAACCGGTGAAAAGCGGCCGGTTTTGATAGTTTTAATCGAACTGGACCGGCAACCAGAAAATCATCTGGTTCGGTACTGATTCCAAGCATGGTTGATAGATGCCTTTCTATCAATTAATTGGGATACTTTTCATAGCAAATTTTACCTAAAAATTAATAATAACATTTCAGAAACCCTTCTTTTCTCCTCCGAGTAAGATCCTGCTTTTATAATTGTCGATCAAAATCTGGCTTCCTCTTACAAGAAATCTTTAATAATCATTGCACGAAAGAGCCGATCAAAATATCGACCATATGCTTAATTGATCTCACAGATTTCAATGAAACTTTGCACATGCATAACCCAAAGTGAGATCTGACAACACCAACATTTTTACTTGTAAAGCTATTCCCTTGTTGAGATATTGAAATCATAACAGAATCAACCTCAAGTAAAAACCTCGATAAACGTATGAAGTACCTATTAATTGTATATTTCGCCAATTTTTAGCAACAATTTTTTAGTCATAAAATTTTATGGATATATACTAGCGCAGGTACCATACATATTAACACTCTCAAAACCGCTTTTTTGTGTGTTAGACAGTATAGAAGTACTACATAGGTCTTAGATATATTCTACCTTGTGATCAAGATTTCTATCGCTTTAGAACTAAGTACTACTGAGCCCTAACTATTAGCAACAATTTTCAGAATTTTGGGTTTTTACTTTTAGCATTCTCACAATACCTTAAGAATTCCTGACTTTGCCTCTGGCGTAGACGACAATCTCATACTATAAAGATTGACGGTTTGGAAATAAGGCAGAAAATCTAGAGATTGCTGCGTTTTTCTAGGGAGCACTTCCTAAAAGCTAGCGTTCGACTTCTCGGCACTTTAAAACTATTTCCCGTCAGGTTCCAAACATTCGTTTGTAAATTCCTGTGAAGGTCAGCCAGTTTAGCACGCATACGAATCTTCTGATAGGATAAGCTTTAGGAAGGTATCGTAGAATGAGGAAAAAAGTCTCTGATCAAATTTGACCGCCATCCTCTGTGCAAATGTTTAGAAGAACCTTTCGACAGATTTGTGTTTATGATATAGAGAATCATAGCATCAGAAATTCAAGCAGAACTGTAGGAAAAGTCTTCCGATGTTTTCCATATAAAGTTCTCGCGATTTCAGACTTGCCAGCACCGTTGCTAATAATCTTGCTAAGATTATGTATACCTGCAATTGCGAATAAAATTCTCAAATCCTTCGGTTTACCTATCGAGAACTTGCATCGAATTAGCATTACTTTTTCTCGAAAACCTGCTTACAGTGATCTCAATAATCTCCTCACACAAATTATCGTAGATTCTATCCGAGTTTTTCAAGGAATGAACAAGATTCAAACTTCGACAAAGTGACATAACGGTAATAATTGTTACAAAGTCCTTTTTTTTTATTATAGGAAACTAGGAAAAAGCTGCTGAATTTACATCTACGGGAAAGATATTCTCGAAAGTTTCGCCAAATTACCTTAGAAGACAATGAATCTCTTATTTGTAGCTCTTTCTCCTGCGTCAGAGATGTGAGAAGCTCGTCTTCAATAAAAGATAATTACTTTTCATTTTTCGTTCATTCTAGTGATTCTCAATATTTCAGTCGATGCCCGTGCCCATCGAATATCAGAAAAATTTGCAGGATTATGTGTTTTACACGTATCTCAGTTCGGATATAAGATAAAATGTTAAATTTATTTTTAGAAGTTGGGTAATTCAATTCTCTAGAAACCTGTTTTCGCATTAATTTCAAATAATAGGACCGATAGTTCTTGAATGTCAATGAATGCGATTATATAAATTACATATACTCCCGGCGCATTTCTTTTTACTATATTTTACATAATTTTTTCAAGTTTTAGAGAGGTGTGTAAAAAACTAATTATCAATAAGGCGATTACGTGTTAATACTCTTGTAGAATTTTTGGCTTGCATTTGGTTGCAATTTATTTGCGTCTAATAGAAATGATCTGTTTGAGATACTAATGAGACATTGCATCTTGACAATGTTCAGATTCTTCTTCCAACTGAATAGTTTTACCACATGCTTTTTTAACTTATTAGTAGAAAGAGGTGACATTCATTTTCCACAAAAATACTGGAAAATGAACTCACGTTTGCCACTGCTGATCTTTTTTTTGTAAATCCTTTTTCTAAAAAGCATTTATCATGAGAGAAAGAGAATTCTGTGAATCTCGAGATAGTGCTTTTCCGAAAATTTCTGCTTATTGGAGACACTGCATGTTAAATATGTATACGGAGTTCAATGAAGTATTCAATATCTATCTAACAGTCTATTTTCTTTAAAAGCAAAATATTCATGCGTAGAGCAAAAATATGTTAGAAAAATAACTTTGTAAGAAGTAGATCAAATTCATATGATCAAACTATTCAATCTTTTAAAAAGGTTCAGTTCTATTGTTTTTCATTAAGGCAGATAGAAGTTCCTAGAAAATCAAATTACGCACGCTTCCTGAAAGAAAATGCAAAATTTTATCTTTTCTTGAAACCAAGATATGTGTCAAATATAAAATCTTGCAAAAGTTTTGCAATACTCATTAGGAATCTAACGCAACGATTTCAAGTTGACTGTCACCAGAACTTAATAATAGATCTGTGTAGCACTCAATCTGATTATCACATTAAGATTGATGCGTGCTAAATTGCCAATAAAATCTACAGATCTCTATGTTTTCCTAGGGAAAGCTTCGATCAGACTACTATTAGTCTTCGCAGCATTTCAAAAATGGCAGGTCTCAAATTCTAAAGATTCACGTGGCATTCTATCAAGTATACTTATGTTTCGCATGCATACAAATCTTTTGATAATCGTACTAAGATCATATCAGGATCGTCGTTCGAACAGGTGGGCATAGTTTGGCAAAAACCTAATAATATGTCTTCTGTATCCTCTATGCAAATGTTTAGAAGATCATTTTGGCAGATTTTTATTCATAATCTAGAAAAACCTGGCATTAGGAATCTATATAAAACCAGGTGAAAAGCATTCTGAAAGATACAAGATTCTGACAGAATCTTTTCAGAATTTTTTTCAATTTTGGATCCAGACAGAGTTTCATCATTCTGTTATTGAAATCATTGTCTCGACATAGAAATCCTACAAGGGTTTAGGTTTGTTCGTACCCTTCGTAATAATCTTGTTAAGACTATGCATTCTTGCATTTGTAAATAAAATTCTCAGGTTCCTCTGGTTACGTATGAAGCGCATGCGTCGAATTAACATTGTTTTTACTTACTTCTTACAACAATCTCAATGTTGGGTTTTCATCCACCGCGAAGATGCTACTTTGTTGGATCTAAATGACTCTTGTACACATAAACTGTCATAGATCCTACCCAAATTTCTCATCAAATGAAGATAATTCAGACTTGTGGAAAATGACAAAGCTGTAATAATCATTGTGAAATCCTTTTTTCTCATAGAAAACTAGGAAAAGGTTCCTGAATTTATATTTACAGGAAAGACATTCGAGAAAGTTTTACCAAGTTCCTTTCGAAGAAGACAACGAAGATTCCTTTTTATTTTTCGTTCGTTGTAGTGATTCCCAATATTCCAGCCAATGCTCAATGGCCATATAGTGGAGTAACTGTTGCTGGAGGCCAAGAGTATGGCAATGCTACCAATCAATTGTGGAGCCCTCATGCCCTCTTCATGGATGATGATCAAACGATGATCATTGCTGACACGTTCAATCATCGAATCATGCAATGGAAGATGAATGACACGAATGGAGAAGTCGTAGCTGGTGGCCGTGGTCGAGGAAATCGATTGGACCAATTGAATTTGCCAACTGATGTGTTGATCGATAAAGAGACGGATAGTCTCGTTATTTGTGATCGAGAAAATCGACGAGTTGTACGATGGCCTCGTCGTAGTGGCACAACTCAAGGAGAAATCGTCATCGATAACATCTATTGTCAGGGATTGGCCATGGATAATCAGAGATATCTCTACATCTCTGATACCACCAAAAATGAAGTAAGACGATATGAAATAGGAGACAAGCATGGAACTATCGTGGCTGGTGGCAATGGTGCAGGTGCTGGTTTCAATCAACTCCACGGTCCGATATGCGTCTTCGTCGATCAACAAGAGGCTATCTATGTTTCAGAGCATTACAATTATCGTGTGATGAAATGGAATAAAGGTGCAAAAGAAGGAATTGTTGTTGCTGGTGGTCAAGGCTTTGGAGATGGTATGAAACAATTATCCAACCCTCGAGGACTGTTCGTCGATACATTGGGTACCATCTATATAGCAGACTCGTTGAATGATCGAGTCGTGCATTGGTCCCAAGCAGGAAAATCGTACATAACCGTCTCGGGTCGAAATCGTGTGTTGGCGTGGCCCTATGGTTTGTTCTTCGATCGATATGGCAATCTCTATGTCGTCGATTCTGGACACCATCGTGTTCAACGTTTTTCAATCAGATAGACTCAAAACGATGGACTAATTTTTTTCTTTCCTTGCTACCAAATAAATTACGTTGAACTGATGAGAGGAATGGCTATTCTATTCATGCACACGACTATGAACTATCCTGGTAACATCGTAGCGAGCATAAAGCTCATACGCACACAAGAGGACTTATATCATTCAATGCGCGCATCCGGTGACATGTGTCAATGAGTCTATTAAAAACCTGATCGTGTGTCACGGACACCGGTGTGGTTTTCTGACCAGTTTTTAGGATCCACACCCCCCATCTGATAGATAACAGGAATCTAAACCTCAATGGACATAACTCATCCCTCCGCTACGATCACGATCATAAATGTCTCCGAAAAAATATCCTCTCACAAATGCCCTCGGATATTAGTCCGCGAGAAATTGTCCTTAGCAATAAATGTCCTTCGATGAAAATTTCCTTGAGAAACGATCTCTAAGTAAAGCATCCTAGAAGAAGTGTCCACAGATTACATATCCTTGGGAAACTCCTTCAATTTGAAAATTCAAGAGAACCGTGACAGATGGCAATAGATCATATGTACTTTATTATATATTCTCCACTCTTTTCGTAGAGCTCGTGCATCTTATACAGATCCTATCAAAAATTGAAAAATAAGTTCCAATGAAAACAAAAACAAGGTTCTTTAAATTTTCAGCAACAAACTTATAAAATCTTCAAAAACATCTTAATGTAAAATTCGTGCAAACCTATTATTTCAAAAATAACTTCAAATAAAGGATGTGTTGTGTTCATTATTGATGGTTTTAGCATTAGTACCAGAGTAATATGTTTCTTCTTTATTTTCTACAATCAGACAAGATTTACTTCATACTGAACAAGATGATTTGTCTAATTTGCTTAAATATTTCAACAATTATTGGATGCCTCAAATGTCATCTTGGAGTGTTCATAGTTTATGTCAAAAAGCTAATGATTCATGTGAAAGTATGTCAAGTCAAAACTGAAATTTTCAGCTAATAAGTTTTTTTGAAAGGTTATAGTCACAGATTCAAAAAACGTTTGGGAAAAATTCATCCAAACATATAGCGCATGTTTCTAATTAGAACAGTTTTTCAAGCGGCTTGAGAGTTTCCTTTTTTTCTAGAAAATTTATATCGAGAACATATAGATTTTTCTATATTTTTGAGTAGAGAAATTTTGCCTGAATCGAATGATATAACAATCATCTAGGGAGTGATCCAAAAGTTTTATAACACTTTGTCTTTTGCATATGTCTCAGTACAGACAAAATATAAAATCTTGAATTTAATTTTATAAGATGTACTTTTCAATTCTCTACAAACTGGTATTTAGCTTAATTTAAAATAATAGCACTGAACGTTTTTAACAGTCAAATAGTGTGACAGTATGAATTGCATCAACTTCCTGCACATTTTTGTATTAAATTATTTTGTTCTATACGAACGAATGTTTTGTTTTAGAACTAAGTTATTGTCAGATAGTCCTTGAAAGCTTCGGCCAATTGCGTATATATTTAATATTTATTCTTTCTACTAGATAGAAGCTTTCTCAAAGCAATATTTTGCGAATCGTAAAATTTCCTTATTCACCATTCCTTGCCAGAAAAAAAACGCCTGAAAAAACGCGACCTGTAACCAAATGGAGCTAGCTTCTACAAAGCTCTGTCACAGAGTGACTTCTCTTTTCTACAAAAAATTAGAGGAACATTTAATAAAACAAGTCAATCGAAAGAAGAATCTGAAAGTTGTCAAGACTCCTAATTTTGCAGCAGCATATCTGGCTGATCATTTTCATTAGGCCTAAATAGATTCTAATCGAACGCAGATGAATTACTCTAAAAGAGCTTTGATATGTTATAGCATTCTTAATAATTAGATTTTTTAAGCACCTGTTTATCACACGAGGAAGTCAGAAAATGTATCATTAGAAATGGTGTGGGAAGTTGATGTAATTCATACTATCACACTATTTGACTCTTAAAAACGTTCAGTGCTATTATTTTAAATTAAACTAAATACAAGTTTGTAGAGAATTGAAAAGTACATCTTTCAACATTAAATTCAAGAGTTTATCTTTTGTCTGTACTGAGATATATGCAAAAGACAAAGTGTTAAAAACTTTTGGATCACCCGGTATATTCAGAATTTTCTGCTGACTTAAAGTTGATACATTAGGAGCAAATCTTTAATGGAGATCAAAAACGACATTTGTACAAAACACTAATTTCAAAAGTCTTGGTAAATATATTTTGTTGATTTTCAGCCATTTAAATATAACTAAGGAGATAAAAAGTAGTCGGTCCATTGTAAGCAAATACCTGAAAAAATAAAAATTGTCACTTGTACCATGCAAAATAAGCTTTGTTTCCTGTCATTCGTAATTTTTCTAAAGGATATTTTGGGATAGTTTTCACTTCTTATAGTTGTAGAGAATTTAATGCTCTACAAAAGTATAGGTTCGAATAAGATATTACTCAAAAGAATAAAAAGGTACAAACATTTTTCGAAATGCTACTCTTTAAATGAGATGACATTTTTCAAAATTATTGTTTTTTGCGGATTTCGATATTTATAGTACAACAAATTCTGATGGTTCGTACTGGTATGTAAGAGCCGAAGCAAAATGAGCATTTTGTAGAACAAACTTTGTTCACAAACTGGTGTATAAGAAGACTTTCTCATAATTTGAATTGGGGTAGTTTTAATCAAAATACAAAAATGTCCCACATGAAAAATTTTCTACAAACGTCATTTTTGGTCCCCATTAAAGAGTTGCTCTTAATGTATCAACTATAAATTAGAAGACAATTCTGAATATATATTTAGAAAGAACACAAAATTCTTATTCTGACTGACTGCTTTTGATTCTCTCCTACGGCCTCGAAGTGTACGAAAATCGAACAGATATATTGTACCAAGACTTAATATAAACAGATTAGAATAAATATATCATTGGATAAAGTTTCTATTGTACTAATCATATGACGTAAAATTAATAAAAAATTAGTTTGATATTCAAATAAACAATATCCTTTCTTCCTACGTACTTAAGGGCTGAAGTGTTTTCCATGTTTCATTTTAAACTAAAATCGAAATATTTTATAAAAGAAAAGTAGAAAAGATATTGTCAAGACAATATCTTTATAGTTTTTTATTTTAGATAATTTTCAAAATAAATGTTCATAAAGAAAGTAGTATGCATGCATACCTCTTCTCAAGTGAGTATAACAAAATAATGCATTATCTTATCATAGTTTTTAAATTTAAATCTCCATAGATATAAAACAAACATTATTGACTTATGCTATTCTAATTATCTTGTTTTCCTTGTGTAAGTTTAGCTGAAGATAAGGCAAATAGAGAAATTCTTTTCAACCAATACAAAAATTCAAGTAACCATAAAACAGTAAAAAATATTTAACAAATGCAAAACTATGGTGAGAGATGCAAAAATTGTTAAGAATCATAATAAAATCGCTTATTTTTTTATTAGAGTGCGGATGTGGCTGTGGATAATGCTGTGAGTGAGAGGATGGGTAAAGGTCTGTCTGTCGTTCATGCCCACATCCACATCGACACCCACATTTCACACTCGTACCTACACACTCTACATCCACATCTTACTGATTCTTCAATTGTTTTTCATTTGAGTTCTCAAGATATGCCAGTATCAATAGCTCTTTGTCTCAGTGCCTTGCTGTGTTCGATTCATGCAGTTTGTCTGTTTGTAACTGATTGACTTATAGACGATAACAGCAGACTACTTCAATTAACATGGCAAAATATATGGATACCACGAAAGAACTAACAGATACACACATATGCTATTACGTTGTCTCTGCAAAACGAAGTACAATAGTGTGAATACCGGAAGAAGACTCACATATTTGTTTATATGTTTCTGCGAGTAAGGCACTAACGAGAGAAGATTTTCAACTGATTCATGCCCTTTTCATTTATATTTTTCCATATATAGGATATATTATTCTAACAATGGAAGGGTCTCAAGTGATGAACGCTGATCGGACTCAAAATTTGTCCATAGTTAGAACTCAATGATACTAGTATAAGCCCAGAAGGATTCGTGCTTCTGGCATGTCCTTCTCGAGTTATGGCCGTTTTACTAAATTTTCGACCTTTGCGTAGCTATCTGGTAAACAATCGTAT